GTCAACGCCAGATTTGCGAATAGGTGGGACTATAAAATGCTCCGCATTTAAAAGAAGCTTGCATCGTGCCTTCTTCTGGAATCCAGATACAGACGACTGTACATACGCTGTACAGACGACTGCACATAGGCTCCCTCCCATATCGGGTGCTGAAAAGTCGGTAAACTTTGTGTTCTATGGTTCGGTGTATCCTTTTGCGTTTACACTAAGAGGCATGAATTATGCACTGTCGCCCTCTCTCTCTCTCTCTCTCTTTTTTTTTTTTTCGAACGCCTTCTAGCAGCTAACTGTAGTTGCAGCTGAAAAAGCGACTTTTAAAGCTTTGATCAATGGTAATGCTAATTTTTGTCACGGTCAGACAGAACTGCTGTCAGTTTCCATGACCTGGCCAAGTTTTTCAGAAATTCCTTGACTTTTCCATGATTTTTGCAGAAAGGTCCTAATTCCCTGACTTTTTTAGGCTTTCCAGATTGGATTTTCTAGACCCTGTCCAATGTAGATAATTTACAAAATAGGAGTTTTTATCCTCCTTAGTTACATTATTCATAAGTATGCAATGCATTTATAGACCCATAGAAAAATTAATTACTACTTAATTGCTACTCAAAAAAATCTGGGGGAGGAATTATTTCTCAACAATATTAGCCACTCTTAAGCATTAAATTTATGCAACAAAAAGATAAATCATGTGGGGTTGCATTTGGCAAAAAAAAAAAAACCTAAGGGGTAAAAGTGTGCAGTGAGCTTAAAAAAAGCAGGACTACACACAGTCGCCAAGAAGAGTTGAAGATGCATGCCAGGGCAGTCAGATAATTTTGTACTCATGAGTATGTCTGTGTCTGCTATCATGCCCTTGTGCACTTTCAATGCGATTTGTATAGGCATCATGGCAATATCATAACCACAGGTCGGTTGGCACAGCGCACTTCTGCCACATTGTGAAGTGAGAGGCCAAGATAACTTTTACATGCTTAAAGTATGGCATTGTGCGAAGTTAGCTCGCTGGACGATGTTTTCCGACACCAATTGCAATGTTTTCATGCGAAAGATCATCTGTGAACATCTTTCTCTCCTGCAGGATATTTACACTTTTTTACTTGCCATAGGGGGGCTACACGTGTGTGCAATGAAAGATTTTGTTAAGTCATAACTGCAGCACAAGACTACTTCACATATAAAAAAGTACTAAATGGAGCTTCAACTCTAATATGAAAATTGTTCATTACACTAACAATTTCGTTGAAATGAGGTGTTATACCAACATTTAACTGATCTCTTTGCAAAGTATTAGTAACTTAAAACTGCCTGATACTTATATAAAATAAACTATTGTAGGTTCAGTTATGAATGAAAGTGACCCCAAAAAAAGTTTACTAGCAACTGTTCCGGACAAGCATAGCCTGCGTTCAATTATCAATCCCATTGGGGATGCTGCCCTCTTTCTGCATTGATTGTGGAGGCCAGCAGCCTGTGTTCTATTATCAATCACATTTGGGGATGCTGCCATTTTTCTACATTGATTGTAGAAGCCAGCAGCTGTATACAGAAGACTCGCGTTAAATCAAACTCTGATAATTTATAATTTCAGTTAATTCAAACAACATTCAATTTTTTGGTTGGCTCTCTATTCTTTCAATGTACTTAAGAGCCTCTTAATTCATGCTCCATCATTCAGTTAATTCATACTTTTTGCAGGTCCTTACCAGGAAATATCAGCTGCTTTCCCATTACAATTTAAAAATTTGTGTGCTTATATAATCCTAACAGTATAAAAATGAAAAACAAGCACCTGAGGCCTTTAAGAAAAAAGGCTTGGCAAGTAAACAAATGTTTGAAATGAACCAAATGCATGGTAAACCATGATGCTTCTCAACTAGTATAGACAGCTCTGTGCTGAAGGCACATACTTATAGCAATTAAGCAGTATGCAATTCACGATTTCTTTAAAAGGTCTGATCAGCAGTAAATGGCCAACAAACTTGTGGGCTTCACACCTCTGCTTTCTGATCAATGCGTACAGTAAGAGCTTAAAAACACTTGAAAATTTTTTTAATGTGATAAAATCAATGCCTAATCATAATGTGTGGTGTCACCTCACCCAGAGTCATCTATCTGAAAACTTCTTTTAATTCAAACAAAGTTCAGAGGTCCTTTCGAATTTTAGTCAACAAGAGTCGATTGTTTTTTGTTACTATTTTTGCATGCCTCCTATTAGTGTAATTTTCAAGTTGCCTCATTCTGGAGTGATCAGGTAAAATGCCAGTAGCATGCTAATAATAATAATAATAATAATAATAATAATAATAATAATAATAATAATAATAATAATAATTGTTGGGGTTAACATGTGAGAATCACCATATGATTACGAGAGATGCTGTAATGAAGGGCTACGGAAAGTTCGACCACTTGGGGTTAAAAGTGTTTAACATGCCCCTAAATCTACGCACACGAGCCTCAAGCATTTTTGCCTCCCTCGAAAATGCTACTGCCGTGGCCGAGATTCGATACCGCGACCTGCGGGTCAGCAGCCGAGTGCCTTAGCCACAAGGCCACTGTGGCAGGCTGCAGTAGCAGGACTGAAGTGCTGTGCTGGTCTCTGCATCATGAAAAAATAAAATCCCCGAGCAGCGATCCACAAAGCCCCATGCATGGCTGTCATGTGAAGCATGTCGCATGCTACAATTTGCTGTATCGTAGGAAAGAAATGTAAATTAAAATGCTCGTTTTTTTTTTTAAGAAACAATAATAAGGACTGACTGACAATGATGTCAAGGAAAGTACAGGGGATGTTAATAGAAATAATTGTTATGTAAATGTGAAAAAAGAAAGGTGGATGAAAAGATAACTTGCCATGATGGCTAGTGGCGGCGATGACTGACGCTCCCATGTTTAATGCACATATATACCCTATAAAGTGGATGGAGGGATGAGTGCTGCTGTAGCTCAGTAGTAGAGCACCGAATGCGTTATTTGAAGGTTGCAGGTTCAGTCCCTGCCAGCAGAAAGTTATCTATTCACCCACTTTTCTTTCTTCACACTTACATTAGTTACTTCTAAAATCTTCTATACTTTCCTTGGCATTACTGTCTGTTTTCATTATTGCTTCGTTATAAATTGAATTCCTATTACAAGCAGCATGATACTATAATGGCAACGGCCTTGCTTTGTAAGCAATACATAGCATGCTGCAATTGCAAAAACCATGGAGCCAAGGTAAGCTTCCTTCTTTTATTGACAACACACACAGCCCGAGAAACATTTCGAACCAATCTGAACACTGTGCAGTTAGTGCGGTCAGTACAGGAGCGTGCTTTCAGTTGATACTACTGCGGTGAAGTACACAAACCACGAAGCATAGAAAACTATATTACTGCAATAATTCTTTGTGCATTGAGTAGAGCTGCGCAAACAGTGAAGTTCTGGGTGTGAAGCGAATTTGAATATTGAAGTGTGAGTGCAAATCGAGTCTAATCTTTTTAGATAGAATATCTAATACCTCGAAGCGAAATCCTGCTGCGGTGGTCTAATGATTATGGTGCTCTACTGCTAACCCGAAAGCCACGGTATCGAATTCCGGCTGTGGCGGCTGCATTTTTCATGGAGCTGAAAATGTCTTAGGCCAATGTATTTAGATTTAGATGCACGTCAAAGATCCCTTGGTGGTCGAAATTTCCAAAGCCCCCCACTATGGTGCCTCTCATAATCTTATTGCGGTTTTGGGATCTCTGAACCCCAGATATCATCATTTATATTCGAAGCGAAATTGCAGAAAGAAAAGTTGCAGAGGATTCCCAAGCATATTCTTATAAGACAACAGCATGGAAATGTTTCTTTTGGCCAAATTGGTTAAGGACTGGCAGAGTGTGTTTCACAGTTGTCTTATCAAAAACTATATGATGTGTGGCAAAAAGTTGATTCGAGGGCAGCCCATGTGTTGCCGACAACAGTTCACACGTGAAAGACAAACATGCTATTTTCTCAACCTCTCATCCTCTTTCAACTTCTGTGGAAGCCCAACTGATGTGGCGAGCAAGGGTGTGATTCCTCAAAGTCTGAAGTTCCAAATCTCCCTTATAGACATCAGTATATGTATAACAACTGATACTTTAGATGCCAAAAACAATTGCCACCCAATTTTTTAGACTTCCTGCCCAATTCCAGGCCCTAAACAGCATTATTTGAGCCGAACCTCTACCACATCTATCATCTCCACATTGGAGTCAATGTTTTCTTGAGTTGATACTTTTGCGACTGTAGCGGAGCTTTGCCGCAATTCGAGAGTAATCAGTCGAGGCATATTGAAAAACTGAAGGGGTCACTCCCAATCAATCGGCGACTGCCCCGCTGCAGTGGTCTAGTGGCTAAGGTACTCGGCTGCTGACCCGAGGGTTGCGGGATCGAAGCCCGGCTGCGGCAGCTGCATTTTAAATGGAGGCGAAAATGCTGTAGGCCGGTGTGCTAAATTTGGGTCCACCTTTAAAAGGACCCCAGGTGGTCGAAATTTCCGGAGCCCCCCACTGCGGCGTCTCTCATAATCATATGGTGGTTTTGGGACGTTAAACCCCACATATCATATCAATCAAACGGTGACTGTAGCATTTGTCTTTGGGAAGTTCGAATAGTAAAATTCCAGTGCGAATCGAATAAAATAGCAAGCACCGATTTGAAAAATATTCAGAATTTCGAATATTCATGCACGCCTAGTATTGACTAGTAAAACTCAAGTCTTTTTGTGCCAACAAAAGTCAATCAGTTGTTGACAAATTGCACAGGGTAGTGTGTAAAGTCTCTCTTGTTAAACAAAATTTTATTTGATGCCATTCAAAGTGTCCTGGAGCACAGAGCTGGCACACCCTGTATTCTGCTTGTTTGAATGAAGCTTTAAAAGATTTTATTACAATTTTCTTTTGCAAGGTTTTAACATGAAAATAAATGTAGCCATACTTGTAAAGAATGACAAAAATTTAGGGCACCCACATGCCTAGTAAAATACATACCTGAGCCAACAGTCCAAAAAACTTCTCGTATGTGCGCTGCTGAGCACAGCAGTCAAGAATCATATGGCACATTTCCCCCTGAAATAGCAGAAGAAAAGCATAATTATTCATTAAAGAAAAGACACAAACATACCATCTTTATTCTAATACACAACTTGGACAGCCCAGGTAGGTTTGCTAATTAGCTTAGGATTATTAAAAGTAATCCTAGGACAATGCAGGGTTTTTATTGCCCAAGTTATATGAGGTTAATATGCCCTGCCATTGATAACCATGGAATAATAAAAAAGTCTTCAAAACAGGATGCTAAATTTTATTATATTGCATTTCTGCACCCAATCAACACGTTACTATTGATTGCACAAGGTCAGGCAGGTAAACAGCAAATGCAACAAAGAAAAAGAAAAAAAAAGTTTTGTTATATTTACTAGGGCACTGCACGTTTTTTTCTTCTTTTATATATAGAGAGCAATTGTGCTCGTCATACTCTCATAAAAATTAATTATAATAATTATGAAATAACTATAATTAAAAATCACAAATATAAAAACCAACACAAATTTTATAACTTTGTTTATAAAGAATAAATCTTGGTATGCCATTAAGGAGGTGGTTGGCCGCAAGGCATTTTAATCTATTAGTAGACGAGATTATGTATTTATTATTTATATATGAATATGCATGTCATGTCAGTCCTCTTGCATAGTGGCAAGTTGCTACTGCATCCTCCAGTAATCTTTCCCACTCTGCTCTGATGCCACAGCCTTAAGTCGGCCGAGTTAACGAGGAGCCGAGAAAACAAGTCTCACGCCTGCCTTGCCAACAAACATCTTGAGTGCATGCCTCACATCGTGTACGTAAGGGATGACAGAAATTTTCTGTCTTTCCTGCGTTGGGCATGTCCTGGAGCCACGTTTCGAGAGCTCACTCAGTAGAATTGTCGCGAAGGCACTGAGTAGTTCATTCGGGTAGCCGGCACAATTCAGTCACTCGACCTGGGCGCCTTTGCAAATAGTGATAGATGACAATCCCAAGGCGCATGCGTGCGTCAAAAAACACAGGACGCAGTACGTTGAGTGTGTGAGCAACGTAGCGTATGACATTCCGTTGCCCTGTGGTCTGTCCTATACTGGACACACCAATCGCTGTTTGAACGACTGCCTGATAGAGCACGCAAATAATCTCTGAACTTCAACAAGCAGCACCTTGGCAGCCGATTGCTCCTTGTGCGGCTGCGCCCCGTTCTTTTATGAATGCAAGATACTCTCAAGGTATCGTAACAAGACAAAGCGTGAAATTAACGAGGCTTTTCACATCAAGACGAAAAGGAACATGTGCGTCAGTGAGCCATTACTCGCCCTCCTGGAAAAAGAGATAATGTTTTTTGAATAGTTAACTTGTACTTTTCGACTCGTGGCAGATTCTTTTTTGTCTTTCACTCTCATGTGCACGTGATGGTTTTGTTCGTTTTCAGCTATATATTTCCAGGTGTAATAAATTTACACACAGTTGTTCGTCAGTGCTTGTGTCGTGTGTTCAATCTTTCTCCGTCCCGTTTGTTGCGCTGTTCCCCTCAGTAATGTGAAATGTTATGATTACATTACATAAAACACAGAAAGCATGGGTCTTTTGTTAAAAGGTATGCGAGATTTTGTCTCATTTAAAGTTCTTGCATTTTTAACTGCATGTTTCAATTCGCCATATCTTTGCAAGGCAAAAAAAAAAATCACACACACCCTTCAGTGAATGCACAAACAGAACAGCAAATCAGCCACATTACTATCCTTTACCAGTAGGAGATCCTCACCACTTGTCCAGGTTTGAGCTCAAGCTTCAGCAACTTGTGAGCACATTCCTCAAAGTTAAGGCTCGATTGAATTGTCAAATAAATGGTCCGTCTGAGTGCCACCAGGTTAGTCTCAGTGTTGTCTATTATCTCACCATTCTCTCCAGCTGAAAAACAGACATAGAACAAATACCCTGGGTTTAAAGCAAATCAAAACGTTGAACACGATGTTTTGAATGCACCTGAATTCCATGATTGCAGAGATCCCAGGATCTCACAGTTGCCATTATTTTCTGAAATATATGCATGCAAAATACTCCTTTACAGGGGTCGTGATAAGAAAATGAAGCCGATTTGTTGTTATTTTTACTGCTTCAATATAAATTGGACATGCAGATTCCTGAATATATTGGTGCAATATTCAGCCTACATTTTATAACGCTCGTTTGAAATTGTATATACAGGCTGTTCAGGCATTTTGGGGCAGCGTGGCCCTATTTCAGCAAATTTCATGGTTTTAGTGAAGCTCGGTGCAAAAATGGGGAATTGTAACAAATTGGCGCAATTGGAGCAGCTGTTGCACCCCTGTAGAATGCACAATTGAGAGAGACGGCTTGCTTGAATGAGGCAAGCAGGAGTAAACGCAGAATAACAGAGAAGCCTCAAGCTCAGCAGCCCATATCAGTGTCTTGAGGAAAAATGAAAAATTGCGAAGTGAGTAGTATTTGTAAGCTACAAGGGCAGGCACACGAGGGCATATAGGGCATCCAATTTTAGCGTGCACAATCATGGATGTTATGGGGCATATTTGCAAGTTTTTTTTAGTGCCGGAACAAAGGAAAAAAGGGACAGGGTAAACAGTAAGAGGACTGTTTTTTTTAGGCTTGTATTTTATCTTCATGTTCTGTAATCATCCTTTTTTTAGTCATATATATTCCAACTAACTAGTTGGAAGCTGAAAAAAAAAAAAAAAAAACAGCGCACTTTCTGTCTGCTCTGTCCCTTTTTTCCTATGTTCGCATGCTGAAAAAAACTTGCAAAACTGACTGCGCACCAACTGACCCAAGCTTCCACTCTTGTGAGTTATAGGGCACTTTTGATGGGTGATGCCCACAACTAGCCAAAACAGAGACCTACATGCATTCCCAAACTTCAGTTCTCCACACTGGCACATGACTGCCATGACTGCCATGGCTACACAGGCGACACACCTGCTTGTGTCAACGGGTAACAGTGCATTCATATAAAACATTAAAGAGTAGCACATCTGTTTGCAACAACCGTGCTCTAGCATATTGTGTAACTATGGGCCTTGGCCCGGACCATGGAAGAATTCCCATCACTCTGACATTCACATGGACTGTGATTGTATTACTGCAATTCTACTTTAGTCCCCCCAAAACTTATCTCAAGTGGGTTTTATTTTATTAGTAATGAATCAGTACATGCTGCCTGCCTTATTGGTATAAAAACAACACTAATCAAATAAGTTACACAGTTATAGCTTGTCAACGTTCAGAAAAGTTGCTCTGACAAGGGAGAATGATATGCCCCACTGTTTATTAAATGATTCAGTACAGCGCAACAGCATCAGTACACTAGGCTCACCTTGTTCTTCTTCCTCCTCCTCCTCATCATTAGAATCATCACCTCCAGAACCTTCATCTTCGTCATCGCTGCCCAATATATCTGTAAAACAAAAGTGATAAGCAAGGGCACAACAAGCTTATTCCTGCATATTTATATATATGGATATATATACCTTTTGCGATCTCTGCATATCTCTCTTCATTTTCAATGAACTCCGGATCGAACTTGAATACATCTAAAGAGAGATATAGACGAAGGAAGTGAACAACAAAGAGAGGAGCACAATGTAATGAGCATATTCTATTTATATTTTATTATTAGCACAAATGTGATTGCAAGCCTACATACTCAACATATCTTCCCCGTCCAATGTATCATCCAAAGCCAATAAGTGGGTGTACTGGCTCTCCTCTTCAACCAATTCAAGCTCCTTCACAACACTGGGATGGGCCTGGTGGAGCAGCAGCAATAATATAAGCATGAAGAGTTTCATTAAGTAAAAAAAATCCATGAACACACCACAAGATAACTGTTAATTTAGAGCAGCATAAATTTATCCCATGTACTTTGCCATATGCAAAGCGAACAAAAAACAAGAATGACAACACTCACAGAAAATCCATCTTTGCGTATAGCAAACATAACTTCAATCATGTACTGCACTCGTTTGTCCAAACTGGCCTCATGAAGAATGCTTCTCAAACGTTCAAATATAGCTGAAAAGAGGGGAAAAAAAGCACAATGTCAGCAATGAACATGCTCCTCTGATGAAATCACAACATGCTTTGCATGATGTTATTTCCTTCAAAATGGTGGGAAGTAACATGCACATAGACAAATGCTGTAATAAGATAAAGGCGAATGTTCAAAGTTCTACACACTACTTAAAGGGTCAGAAGCCCCATTTGGCTTGTTGAAAAATCAGATACTGATGAAAGCAGACACGACTATGTACAGCTCGGCCAAGTATTACAGCCGCATGCACCACGTAAAGGCTACAAACGGAGCCCGGACTCATTTTTCCTGTTTTGTTGCAGCACTTGAATTGTCAGAATTACAATCTCGTCGTGACCAGAACTTTGAAAGTCAACTCAAAGCCCCCTTTCGGCCCATAACGGATGCACCGCATGTGCCAGTGTCAAGCGTGCATCGGGTAAGTGTGACAGCTTTCCAGTACCTTGTGCCACACTGGTTAAATAATTATGTACAAATAAGGACTGTTGTAGTTAAATAAGGACATGTTGTAGTAGGTGCATCATTTATACATGTGCCGTGCTTGTAATCAGCCAAGCCATTTGAAAAATGCTGCTGTATTGTTCAATTCGAGGCTATGCTTAAAGTTTGAACACAGCATGTACATGAAAACGCGCTCTATTTTTTGGAAAAATATGTGATTCCATTCCCATTCCATTCCAGGCAAAATGTGCTAATTTTATTCCCGTTCCATTCCTCCAAGCATTGTCCCCATTCCATTCCCACTCCAAACAAGGGGTCGCGAAAATGTGAAATCGTTGCAGAATCATTCCAATCCCGTAGTGGTAACTCCACAACACTGGACCAGCACATGAAATTGCAGGCAATGATTGGTCGCTGCTTTAACACCTTCCACTTACAGAAATATGATAACGCATTGCTACTCCTTTATCATCAAACTTTGCAATGTGAACGACATTCTGTCCTCACACGCTCTACTGTGTCGATTTGACGGCACCTTTTATAAGAACCTTTGCTCCCTCCTACGCATTCATGCGCCACCGCGTGCTCTGATGAATGGCGGGGACATCAATCGCATCCTTAGATGTCTCGATAGATTCTTCCACAGCAGCATATGACTCTATATTCATAGTCATGTTATTACAACATCTTGTACCTTTTTATTTGAACATTCCTTGTATGTTTCAGACAAGTGGTGAATGGGAACAGCCACACAGACTATCATCCACTGCCTGAAACAGCGCCTATACACAAGATTCCTTCCAAGCATAACAACTGATCAAAAACATGAAAGTAACGTCTCAATCACTGCCCCTTCCTAACCTACCCCAGTTTTATTTTGTTCCCTGAGTGTGTTGTGTATTTACAGAGATTAGGTTTCATGAGTTAGACATTTGTTTGTGTTGCACAAGTTCTCTCAGGTCATGTTAGCCATTTTTACACAGAAGCAGCTACTCATGTGACATTCGTAAGTGTGAAATCTCTGCTAGCAAGAAGAGTGATTCCTCTAAGGACACACATGCTTTCATTTCAATTTACAGGTATCTCAATCACACAAATTGCAACAACATTTTGCAGACAAAATTGTTACTATTTCAGGTATGCAACACGAATGTTTGTGCACAATGTCTAAACATGGTGAGTGCCAGCTGAAATTTTATGGAGTTTAATAGCTGACCATGAACTCCTTTTGGCGTCAGCTCAGTCAGTTTCATGCCGCACTCCTTTAGAAATGCCACGGCCACTTCCACAGAGTCATCGGTCGAGTTTCCAAGGAGGAGTGTCAAGATTTCCAGGGCCAATACTTCATGTGCCTGGTAAAAAAAAAATTTTTAAAGGGCATATATAGTTTAAAAAACTAACATAGAATAAAAATAATATTACGAGTTTAAAAGCGGATAGAACCAGACATTAGTCTAAGTAGCTATGCACCTTGCCACCAAGTTTTGTGTCCGCTGCATAGAGTAGATATTATTGCTGCCACAAGCCATAACGTGAAGAGAGGCTCTCGCCAGCGGGATGCACTGACAATGGTTTACACTGATATATATATATATCTCTCTCTCTCTCTCTCTCTCTCTCTCTCTCTCTCTCTATATATATATATATATATATATATATATATATATATATATTGTCACGTTACACTGTGACTGTAACCTGTAGATGATGGCACACAAGGACGTCAAACTGATTCGAACAACGGCAATACGACTTTTTCGTTTTTTTTCTGCGCGCACATCTTCGTCCTCTTCTGAACAGCGGCACATACAAGCCTGCCAGCATCTATGGAAATAATACTTTCAGAACTTGTACTAGTGGAATTCACTCCTTCCCAAAGAACATCTTCCCGATGTCACAACATAATTACCACATGAAAAGAAAAGACATACGATAAGCAGTACACAAGGAGGTGTTCACAATCACTGTAAGTCAACTCAAGGAAGTTTGACGAAGAGTCAGCGTTGGTAAAATGGTTTCATTCTCGAAACATGGACGACGTGTGGCTGTTGTGAACGGCGGGATTTACGAGCCATGTCCTCGTCAAGAACTTCAAGTTTACTTCGCTGAGACGACGGAGAACTCTATAGGGACCAAAAAAGCAGCGTAACAACTTTTCCGATCGGCCCTGTTGTCGAATAGGAGTCCACAACCATACTCGTTCTCCGGGTTGGTAAGAGACATCGCGACGACGAGCGTTGTACTGCAGCGAGTCGATGCATTGTTGCTTGTGGATTCGTTCGACTGCAAGCTTACGAGCTGCGTCTGCCAGTCTGATAAATTCGTTCGTCTTGACACTAATCTGGCGTCTGTCTGGTAGAAGCATGGCATCCAGCATTGTAGTGACCTCCCTGCCGTGAAGCAACCGGAATGGTGTGAATCCAGTTGTTTCTTGCACAGCGGTATTGCAAGCGAACGTGACGTAAGGGAGGATGTCATCCCAGTTTTTGTGGTCTTGGTCAACGTACATAGATAGCATGTCGGCGATCGTCTTGTTTAGTCGCTCTGTAAGGCCGTTACTTTTTGGGTGGTATGCAGTAGTTTTTCAATGTACTGTGCCTCTAAGCTGCATGACGTCTTGTATCATCCGGGCGGTAAAAGCTATGCCACGATCAGTTATGACAACTGCTGGTGCTCCATGTTGGAGGACAATGTTCTTCATAAAAAAGTGGGCAGTCTCAATGGCGGTGCCACGTTGTAATGCCTTCGTTTCGCAGTAGCGCGTCATGTAATCAGTAGCGACTACAATCCAGCGGTTGCCGTCACGAGACTTGGGAAAAGGTCCAAGTAGATCCATGCCAATTAGTTGGAACGGTTGTGTCGGAGGAGTGACGGGCTTCAAAAAGCCGACTGGGTGCTGATGTGGTGCTTTGCAGCGCTGGCTATCGTGACACGTCTTCACATATATGCTTCACGTCTCGATTGAGCTTAGGCCAGTAATAGAGTTGGCGAATCCGGGCCAAGGTACGTGTCAATCCTAAGTGGCCTGAGGAAGGCTCATCGTGACAGGCGGACAAGACATCGGCTCGTAACGCTGGCGGGACGATGAGCGGGTACTCAGTCGCGTTAGGGTCGAAGTTTCTTTTATAGAGCATATTTCTGCGAACGCAGAACGATGATGGCGAGTGGGCGAATGCTGGTGGTGGATGCGGCGTACGGCCTTCGAGATATTCGATGAATTGTCGAAGCTCGGAATCGTTCTTCTGCTGTTCAGCCAAGTCGGATACACTAACGGCGCAGAGAAAACGGCCGTCGAGATCGTGATCACCTGATGCTGTCTTAAGATGAGCTCGGGAAAGGCAGTCCGCGTCAGTATGCTTCCGGCCAGACTTGTACATGACTGTAAAATTGAACTCCTGGCGGCGTAAGCTCCCCCTGGCCAGACGTCCAGAAGGGTCTTTAAGGTTCGCCAACCAGCAGAGCGCATGATGATCGGTAACAACTCTGAACGGGCGACCATACAGGTACGGTCTGAATTTAGCTATTGTTCAGACAACAGCTAGGCACTCCTTTTCAGTGGTTGTGTAATTCGCCTCCACAGATGATAAAATCCTGCTCGCATAAGCAATATGGCGTTCGACGCCGCCTTGCCACTGGACGAGGACAGCACCAAGGCCGATGTTACTGGCGTCTGTGTGTAGTTCGGTGTCGGCATATTCGTCGTAGTGTTTGAGTAAGGGCTCAGACTGGAGACGCTGCTGGAGCTAGGAGAAAGCGCGTGTTTGCTCAGGGCCCCACATGAAGGGACCATCTTCTTTTGTCAGACGAGTGAGGGGTTCGGAAATGTTTGCGAAATTTTGCACAAAGCATCTGTAGTACGCGCAGAGGCCTAAAAATCGACGCACATCACGTTTGTTGGCAGGTGGTGGAAAATCTGCAACAGCCAATGTTTTGTCTGGGTCCGGCCGTATACCATCGGGGCTAACAAGGCGGCCGAGAAACTTTAATTCATCATCATCATCATCATCAGCCTGACTACGTCCACTGCAGGACAAAGGCCTCTCCCATGTTCCGCCAGTTAACTTGGTCCTGTGCTTGCTGCTGCCAATTTATACCCGCGAACTTCTTAATCTCATCTGCCCACCTAACCTACTGTCTCCCACTAACCCGCTTCCCTTCTCTGGGAATCCAGTTAGTTACCCTTAATGACCAGCGGTTATCCTGTCTACGCGCTACATGCCCGGCCCATGTCCATTTCCTCTTCTTTATTTCAACTATGATATCCTTAACCCCCGTTTGTCCCCTAATTCACTCTGCTCTCTTCTTGTCTCTTAAGGTTACACCTACCATTTTTCTTTCCATTGCTCGCTGCGTCGTCCTCAATTTAAGCTGAACCCTCTTTGTGAGTCTCCAGGTTTCTGCTCCATAGCTAAGTACCGGCAAGATACAGCTGTTATATACCTTCCTCTTGAGGGATAGTGGCAATCTACCTGTCATAATTTGAGAGTGCTTGCCGAATGTGCTCCACCCCATTCTTATTCTTCTAGTTAATTCAATTTCGTGGTTAGGCTCTGCGGTTATTACCTGCCCTAAGTAGACATAGTCTTTTACAACTTCAAGTGCACTATTACCTATATCGAAGCGCTGCTCCTTTCCGAGGTTGTTGTACATTACTTTCGTTTTCTGCAGATTAATTTCAAGACCCACCTTTCTGCTCTCCTTGTCTAACTCCATAATCATGAGTTGCAATTCGTCCCCTGAGTTACTCAGCAATGCAATGTCATCGGCGAAGCGCAGGTTACTAAGGTATTCTCCATTAACTCTTATCCCTAACTGTTCCCATTCTAGGCTTCTGAAAACCTCCTGTAAGCACGCAGTAAATAACATTAGGGAGATTGTGTCCCCCTGCCTTAAACCCTTCTTGATTGGTATTCTGTTGCTTTCTTTATGAAGCACCATGGTAGCAGTTGATCCCCTGTAGATTTCTTCCAGAATGTTTATATATACTTCATCTACGCCCTGATTCCGTAGTCTCTGCATGACGGCTGATATTTCTACTGAATCAAACGGCTTCTCGTAATCTATGAAGGCTATGTATAGTGGTTGGTTATACTCTGAGCATTTCTCTATTACCTGATTGATAGTATGAATGTGGTCAATTGTTGAGTAGCCTGTTCGAAATCCTGCTTGTTCCTTTGGTTGATTGAATTCTAATGTTTTCTTTACTCTGTTAGCAATTACCTTTGTAAATAGCTTGTATACTACAGAGAGCAAGCAACTTTAATTCGTTGTAACCAAAATGACATTTTTCTGGTTTCAGTGATAGGCCTGCCATGCGAATTGCAGCAAACACAGATCTAAGTCGCAAGTGCTGTTCAAACGTTTGGGAGAAGACAACGACGTTGTCTAAGTAAACCAGGCATGCTTCCCACTTGAGACCGGAGAGCACTGTATCCATCATCCTCTGGAATGTCGCAGGGGCAGAACACAGACCGAAGGGCAGCACCTTGAATTCGTACAGACCATCAGGCGTTATGAATGCTGTTTTCTCTCGATCGCGTTCATCAACTTCGATCTGCCAGTAGCCACTGCGTAAATCCATAGAGGAGAAGTATCGGGCACGTCGGAGGCGCTCTAGTGAGCCGTCATTGCGCGGAAGCGGATAAACGTCTTTCTTTGTGACTTTGTGGAGTTTGCGGTAATCGACGCAAAATGGGAGAGTGCTGTCCTTTTTAACTAGTACGACGGGGATAAACATGGACTGTTCGAGGGTTGGATTACGCCATCTTCGAGCATCTGTCTCACTTGAAAACGTATTGCCTCTTGTTCCTTTTGTGATACTCGGTAGGCGTGCTGACGTACGGGTCGCTCAGCATGGTCAGTGACAAGGCGGTGCTTCATGGTTGGCGTTTGTTTTATCTTAGATATAGACGCGAAACAGTTGCTAAACATACGGAGGATACAGCGGATTTGCTCTTTCTGCGCACATGACAGATTCAAATTGACATCGACTATATCGGCTACCGCAGTGTCACTTTCAACGGCTGCAGAAATTGGGGCTATCGTCGTACACGCTTCATCGTCAATGGATTCGAAATGAGCGATAGTTGTTCGCTTGGCCAAATGTTGGTATGCTCCACTAAAACTGGTGACCAACTCAGTCGTCCCACGTTTAAATTGAATTATGCCGCGGGCAACGCAGATTTGCCAAGACAAGAGCACCGAAAGGTTGGCTTCAGCGATACCACTACTGTCATGGTCTATGTCACCCTGTACAGTAACGAACATACTGGTGCGTGGCGGAAGTGTGACGGTGTCGTCGACAATGCGAAGCGCAGTCTTCTGCGGATCGGTATCTCTAGGCTTCGGACCATAGTCGTCAGCAAACGTTACGAGGCAGTCTCGAAGGTTTATAACAGCGCCGTGCTCGCGAAGGAAATCCATGCCAAGGATAGCTTTCCGGGAGCATTCGGGAAGCACAACGAAAGAAGCAATGAACGTCGACTCACAGATTTGCAGCCTTGCGGTGCATCTCCCGATTGGTGTCAAGAGATGACCACCTGCTGTCCGAAGGTTTGGTCCATGCCCCCAAGGAGTCATGACTTTCCTGAGTTCAGCCACAAGTTCAGCGCTGATAACTGAGTAGTTGGCGCCAGTGTCAACCAGAGCAGTCACTGGATGGTTGTCGACAAGGACGGCAATGTCAGCAGAAACGGGTTCGTCCGCAATGTGAGGAGTCAGCTGAAAGGAATCATCGAAGGTCGGCGGATGGGTCAAAGGAGGCTGTTTTAACGATAGCTTAACAGCGGTCCCACCCCCGGAGGCCGCTGATTCTAGTTTCCCCGGCGTGGACTTGGGGACCTAGCGGATCGTCCCGCAACAACATCGGTGAAAGTAGAGTATTGATTCGCGGACGTAGAGCGTCGGGGAGACAGAGAGCGTGATTGGCGTCGCTGAAGATTCAGAGACGGTAGACTTGCTTAGTATTCTGCGACGGCGCGGGGTCGTTCCCAGTCCCTGGGCTGACGAGAGTCTGGCCGAAATCCAGGTAGGCCCATCTGTCTGTACGAGCACTCCCGGTACAAGTGACCTGGCTCACCACAGTGGTAGCATAGTGGCCGATTGTCGGAAGCGCGCCACACGCTAGATTTTCGCAAATTAGGTCGCGGATTCTCATAGTGTCGCGGGCCCGAGAAGTACTGCGGCAGCTGCAGGCAAGTCGGCTGTTGGTTTTCATAGTGCGGCAGGCCCGAGAAGTGCTGCGGCGTCTGCAAGATAGTCGGTCGGGGGAAATAGTTGGCCGCCGGTGCAGAAGTGCATACAGCTTCCGCGTACGTTAGCAGAGGAGCTTCGGTTGGAGGTGGCACCAATGGTCGTACCAGCTGTCGCACCTCTTCACGGACGACGTCTCTCAGAGCAGCCACATCAGTCTGTGAAGGTTCTGCGTGAAGCTTTTGCAGCTCGTCGCGCACAATGCTACGGACTAGCTCAGCAAGGTTTCTCACGCTCGTGACATCAGGTGTTACCAAGGGTGCTGACAGACATGCAAGGTTGTCGGACTGCTCATACTGCGAAGACCGCTGTCTTAGCATTCGCTCCATTGTCATCGTTCACGGAGGAATTATGCCATGGTAGCTGGTGGGTTTTGTACAAGTCCTGCAAACAGCTGCTCCTTGACACCCTGCATCAAAATGCCTACCTTTTTGTCTTCCGTCATTGCAGAATCCGCTCGACGGAACAGATGAGACATCTCCTCAACGAACATGGCCACGCTTTCATTGGGTCTTTGATTGCGAGAATTGAGGAGACGTTCGGCTTGTTCTTTCCGGTCGGCGCTACCATACGTGTTCCGCAGCTGAGTGCAAAACACCGGCCAGGTTGTCAGGGCGGCCTCGTGGTTCTCGAACCAAATACGCGCCGAATCCTCCAGGTAGAAATAGACAAACCGCAGTTTACGGTGCTCGTTCCACTAGTTGGCGATGTCGACTCGATCGTATTGGTCCAGCCAGTCTTCAACGTCTTCGTAGGGCTCCCCATGGAAGGGCTTTGGGGTTGGAGGGGCTGGTAGCCATGGAGCTGGCGGAGTCGCGGTCTGTTCAGTCTGGCTTGCAGTTGTCGCATATGCTACGGTTCTGGAGCCTTCCGGAAGAGGGCCGAATTGGGGTGGTAGGCCTAGTTGCCGCCGACTGCGTCGAAGGTTGGCTGTTTCTACCAAGGCGTCGATGTTGGGGCCGAGATCTTTGTCATGGTAACAGTGTATAGACTATTACCCAGCGCCTCCACCAGTTGTCACGTTACACCGTAACTGTAACCTGTAGATAATGGCGCACAAGGACGTCAAACTGATTCGAACAACGGCCATACAACTTTTTCGTTTTTTCTCTGCATGCGCATCTTCGTCCTCTTCTGAACAGCGGCACATACAAGTTTGCCAGCATCTGTGGAAATGATACTTTATGAACTTGTACTAGTGGCAATAATATATATATATATATATATATATATTCCCCTTTAAAAGAGGAGCAAACTTCACACTAGAATAGTGCGGTTCATTCCCGATTCCTTGGAAAGGTGCTTCAGAGACGTCGTATTAAACTGTCAGTAAACAATTTAATAAATAAAGAAAAGATGGTTTGTAGAACTCCTGCAATCATTTGTTACAACAAATAAAAGCGAACACTTACCACTTGCTGGTTCAAAAGATGTGCAATGAAACGCACAGATGCCATGCACGTGAGCTTGTCATTTCGCCTAAATGATCGTCTGAACTGGATCACCAGTCTCTTTAATATAAGCTCCCCGGTCTGAGGAAACTGAAAAAAAGGGGTACATCGTAAGCAAATAACAAGCAGATAAATAAAGTGCAAAAACTTAGAATATGTAGGCTTACCCTAGTGTTTATGACTGCCACCATTGCTGCATAAACATGGGTAAAGGTGGGTGACGCTGCCTGGGCAGTCATGATTGTGCGGCACAAAAGACCCCTGCACATCATTGTTTCCACAGTGAGATCAAATGAACATTAATTAAAACGTACACTGACCATGAGCTCAAGCACAATGGTTTAACAGTCAGTCACTTGCTCATGAAACATTTTATAAGGCAGCACAAGTCAGTGATTGATTGATATGTGGGGTTTAACGTCCCAAAACTACTATATGATTATGAGAGACGCCGTAGTGGAGGGCTCCGGAAATTTAGACCACCTGGGGTTCTTTAACATGCACCCAAATCTGAGCACACGGGCCTACAACATTTCCGCCTCCATCGGAAATGCAGCCGCCGCAGCCGGGATTCGAACCCGCGCCCTGCGGGTCAGCAGCCGAGTACCTTAGCCACTAGACCACCGCGGCGGGGCGCACAAGTCAGTCAAAAAGTATTTTCCGCATTAAAGTTATGTGGATGCCATAACTAAAAGAACAATATGATACTGACTGGGAGAGTTATCCAGACACAAGAGGTTTATGGATTAACTGGAGTCCAGATAAGAAGAACTGAGAATGGTGAAAGCAAACTCTGAGTTAATAATAGCAGCCCCAGGAAGGAGCCAATGCTTCAACAAGGGTCTGATCACCGTTAAGAAATTATGGGCCAAAAGTGCTTCAAAACTGCAGTTTTCTTAACTGCAGGGGTGAAACGGCCGAAACTAAATTGGGAGCAATATTTTTGGAGCAGCAAAATTTCAATATGAAGCAGAAGAATCTTGTTTGGGAGCAGTTAGCGGCATTTAATATGTCATCCTGGGAGCTTGAAAAACAAATTTTTAGCAACGTGGGGGCACCAGTGCATATTTTAATTGGTTTATAATACACATAACACTGAAACAGATTTCAAAGGAAGTTTTAAAACAGATTATCGCCAGGTGTGAACTGCACTACCTTTTTACATACCACATGACCTACCTGGCCCTCGTAAGACACATGTGAAATAATATTAAAAAAAGGTTTTGTTGAAAACTAGGTTCCCTGGAAACATTTAGAAAGAAAAACGCATCACACCCAAAAAGACATCCAAAAATTGTGATTGCACAAGAATCTTAGTTATGTAGCAGTGGTCCAGCTCTTAACAGACAAAAAAAGCGCGCTGCACTGCTGTTCACGGCCATCTCGTGCAGGACGACCTTCAAGATTACAGCGCGGGAGCCAAGAAATATCGCCACACCACTATCTCATAAAACGTGTGCATACTAAGCGATAAGCAAATGATACTAATAACGCCTCTCCACATGAGCAGCCACGTGTTATTAATATGGCAGATGTTGAGTTTTTTGTTTCCCTTTAATCGTAGGTCATCAGCGTCGATGTAGAACTGATAATACATCGACTTGCGATTCCCACTCCGCAACTCTCGAAAAGCGCTCACACAGTGAAGATAATTCGTGTCCACGCAAACGAACCACCGAACGTACAGAGGCCGGTTTTATTGCATAAGAAGAAAAGAAAAAAAAAAAAAAAAAAAAAACGAAGTCACACTGCTGCCGACCGAAACACCAATCTAGCTAAGCCTAAAAGCATCGCCCAGAGCCGGCACGCATGCAGCGACGCCTCTTAAAGCGCACGTTGAGAGTTTAGATTACAAAACGGAGCAGTGACAAATCATGAAACTGTGCCACGTAATAGCCGACGCATCATGAGTCACAAATAAAGTGCTGTGGTGCCCATTCATATAGTTTAAAATAGTTTGAACATGCGTTCCGTCACCACGGCTTCGCAAATGACCAAATGTTTCTCTCTACCCGCAGACACCGATGCGCGAATTTAGCGTGCGATGGCTTTTTTAAATGCAAAATGCAATGAGAACTCAGTTGTCTAAATAAGTTGGTAGCTAATGGGCGTAAACCGGGAATGGGCTGCTCGCGTTCTGTTGCTCATGGAACCCATTTCGAGAACCGATATGCACGCCCCAGAGCATCCAAGAGAGGCATCGCATGCAAGGAAATGACTCCACATTTATAGTTACTCGCTCACGACAAATGCACACGCGGAGGTGACTGCACGCAGCAGCATCAACATAAAAACCGCAGCAACTAGAAAAAGGCGCTATGCACAACAAATCACCTGAGTGTCAACCCCGCTACGCTTGCCACTCGACTCTGTGGTCTTCTCAAGGCGACAGTAATACCAGAACACACAGCTTAGCTAGTAGAAGCAGCACGTTCGATGCATGGTAGCACATTTCTGTGGGGTCACATATATTTACAACAGTTTAGAGGAGATTATGGTGTCCCATATGGGAGCCTTCGTACCAGCAAAGTGCAAAGTAAAAAAAAAAAAAAAAAAAAAAAAAAAAAAAAAAAAAAAAACCCTCGATTGGGCATCTCATTAGTCAACTCTGCCTTTTCTCCCACTGAAGCTGAGGTTGGCATCAAAATTCTAGCTTTCGAGGCTGTTTTGGAGCAGTTCCGTGCAATTTTCCTGATTTTTATGCTCTTAGAGCAGCTTGGCGCAAGAAAACAGAAATGTATCGAAAATGCGCAGTATGCGCAACTGTCTCACCCCTGTAACTGTAATCACAGATTCTGGAATGGATGCTTTCCAGTGTTTCCCAGTTGAAAAAACGTCAGAAGCTGAGCTGTAGCCCATACTAGCCCATTACAGTTACGATACTGATACAAATTTTGATGTGTTGAACCCAGGGATATTATATTGTCAATACCAAACTCTTTAGCACCATTTTAGAAATCCCATGAAAAAGTATAGAACTGAATTATGCATATAGTGCAACATCCTCTGCCACATACAATTTATCGAATGCTATGTTGTATCCCTGCAAGTTTTCTTTTCCTGACAGTATTGCAGTCACGTCTGACACCTTTGAAGACATCAGGTCAATAAAATGGCAGTGCTTTGTCAAATGCGATCAAACAATGCAATAAATTTCATGAGGACTGCAAGCAGTGAATGCATTTACCTAAACGTGGATGAATGCCTGCCAACCTAAGGAATTCAGAGAGTTTCTTGAACTGGCAATGACACCACTTTTTGGAAGTGTATATATATTTACACCGTCATACAAGTCTTCTGTGTACAGAGACGGCTCTGAGCAAGCGTAAGGCTCAGCAAATGCTAGTAAAATATTTATTTCGATATTCAAGACAATTTTATCATGGCTCACCTACCAACATTAACACTAGCTTTACGTCAGGCTACAGTACGAATTTTGGTGTCTTCATACAGCAGTCTGGCAAGGTTTAATGACGCCAAAGCACCAATAATTCCAATATGGCCGGTTGTGTGTCACCAAAACATTCAAAATGGCTGCTCATGCGTCAATGACAAAGGCACGGTGCGAAGCAGCCGTGGAAATGTCATGACATCTAGCACGAGCACGTGACGAGAAGCTCAAACCATGTTGTGACGTCAGGGGAAATCAAACTAGCTCTCAAAAACCCACTGTAAATACTTTTTCAAGGTGCACTCGTGCTTAGCAGTGCATTTTCTAGGCTCTTGAAGTCGTGGCCTTCTATTTGACACTAAAAAATAAGAACTGATAATGTTTATTTCAGTAACCCTTAGGCAATGAAAGAAGGACGTGGACGAAACATTTTTTGCTCAAGGCAACAAGAATGTTGGAAATAGCTCTGAATTATTGCCAGCATAGTTACAACTTATGCTAGAGCTAATAATTAACAGGGTCTTGAACCAGTCCTTGTGTTTGGTGAAAAGACACAAAAATGAGAAAGCAGAGTTCAAAAGCGGGGCACGAAGTTGCCATTTTCTCAAGCGCCCCCCCTTTAGTTATCACACAATTTTCATAGCAAACCAGGTGGCTGCTGTTGGCCAATAGCCAACATTTAGACAAGATGCGCTTCTTCCCACAAGATGCTGCCACATGCTGTGTGCCATACTCCATAGAGAGCTAAAATTACATAGTAGCAATGCTAGAAAGCATCATAACCACACTAAAAGAAAGTAATTACGTTTCAAAACGCATGCCCAGTCATGATTTGTGCGTGACATAGCTCTAGCTTTTATCCCTATTTGCCCGTAATCATTCTACTTAAAAAAAACACTTTCACCCCTGACAACGTGGTATCTTTAAATGAAATGAAAAAGAAAAAAAAAATCGGCAGTGTGGCCTTAGGACAGTTTTTTTGGCAGTTCTATGGCTGTGTCCATACAACTAGTAAGAAGGGGTTTTGCAGCAGTTTTTTTAAGATTTGTGGCTGTCTCAATATTATAGTAAAAATTGGTTTGAAATTGGGAATGTTATGGTAAAGTAGCAAGCATTGGCAGGCAAGCAGCACATGGCGTATTAAAATACCCCCCCCCTCCCCCCATATGATAAGCTACATTTCACTGCAACCCAGCAGTGCCATGCAATGAAGCATACTACCTGAACTATATGGTATCTATAACATCAAATTGCCATTATAGTGAACTATTCTGCGCTCACCTTCACACGCAATACACTTTGATTCAGCTGTATTTTTGATTGGACGCTGGAGGGCATTGACATATTGCCCAACACCCCATTTTCCTTGTTGCTATTGTTGACACTTATCTCCAATTGCAAGATGAACATACATTGGCATATGCAGTGTGTATTCGTAACTGCTGCCAAGAAACGTAAGGGTGCACGAATCGCATACACAAGAAAGCATATATAAAACATGTGACTGACTCGACGACAGCTACCAAACTTTTGACCAGATCAGGACAATAGGCCGTAAATTAAAAAAATACCCCAGTTAAAAATTAAGTTTTCTCTCATGTTTTTACTGATTTTCTTATGACTGGATTGACTTTCAACCATTTTTTCCTTGAATTCCAAATGAATTGTGGATTTCCCCTTCAGGACTACTAATAACTAGTTGAATGAGAGCATTCCATGGGCAACATTTTCCACAGATAAAATGTTTGCACCTGTACTTTATAATTCTGCAATAATCTTGCCAACACACTGTCTGCAGATGCAGCTAGAAGACAAAAATCACATACCTTCCACGAACGAGGTTCTCCCGCATCAGCTCTTTGATTATTACATCTATGTTTCCCACGTTTGCTTTGTTTACCAAGCCATTGATGCTCTTCTTCAGCGCTTCCCAAGCAATGCGCTGATATTCAGCACTGAAAACAAAGAATTCAAAACAAAAATCACACATGCGCGACCATGAACATTTGTCCTAAATATTCCCTTGAAAAGATGAAGTAGAAACACCGAAATGATAGATAGCTCAGTGCGACAGAATCTAAGGCAACATTAAAATGGAAGTTTCTGCAGCAACTAAGACCACCATTTATACTGAACCTATTACACAGCATATATGATTTTCATACTCAGATTCCTCCTGACGTATACATTAACCGGCCTCACTACACATCAGCACACAAAAATCGTGAACCCAAAATAAAATATAAATGCAACACATCTTCTTTAGCAAGTCTTTTTTCCCAAGAACTATCAATCAGTAGAATTGACTTCCTTCCACGATACTAAGAATTTCTTCCACTGATACATTCTTTTCTGCAATACAAACGATTGAATCCTTTGACTACTAAGTATTAAAATATTGGGCGTACACCTCACAATCCCCATGATATGTACCGTATCTCAATTCACAACATTAAAGACCCATAGGTGGCGCGACTGTACATCCAACATGGCGATCGTTGAGATGATCGCCCCAAACGAGATTGTACAATACACGTTTGGCGAAAGGTATAATTCTTCGCGCCTCGGTGGCTCTCGATTTATGTTTTTGTGAAAGTATGGGGGCACTAACATACTATAAGTAAATAATGTCGGGTAGCAAATTGGGTAGATAAATATGGGCGAAATTGTAAATAAGGCAAATTCACACATCGGTGGTTGTTGGTGATTGTGTGCAACGCCTACGTTCATGTAAAAAAATATAATAATGGGAGCCTCAGTACAAATTTCTCAGTAATATCAGAGACATTATCTAGATGCGCTTCAACTTTTAGATTTGCTTGCATTGCATTCTGCCGCAAAGCTTGTTCAGCTCACATACAAGCACGAAGTAAAATAAGCAAGCAAAAAAAAACTTATTGCTTTTCAATACTGAAGCACAAGCATCACTTGAGGCATGAGTTAAAAAAACCAACAACAGCAGAATATCAGGAGAATGAAGCTCGACAAGCAGAGAACGAAACCAGTCGCAATATGCAATTTTCACGTTTAAGAGGCGATGTTCCAGTTACTATTCTTTCGGTATTTCAGAAGTACAAAAACAGCCTGGGGTGGGACATAAAGGAAAAATAAAAGCTCCATTATCAAATATTACCACACGAAAGCTGCTGCAGATGTGAAGGTCATGGAGGCAAATCGCAGATGCTTCATGTGTGTAAAAATTCGAGGAATGTTTTAAAACCGGTCCTTTCATTGTATTCTAGAGGCGGAACGCATTCCTAATAGTTCTGGTGCTGTTTGCACAGCGACCATGTCGAGCGGAAGAACTAAGCGTGAAAACTGATATTCAAGGTACAAACCTGGAAGTTGATGTACTCGTACACAAAATGGGTGTTGCATTCTTGGTTATTTCAGGACTCTGGTTATTTGCCTGCTAAATGTAACCTTCTTAACCACTCGCAGCGTTTTGGGGTGCTAATTTGAATGGGAGGCTTGCTTTGCCTCCCGGTGTATAGGCTGTGAACATCGAAGCTCACAATGCTATCAGTCGGCCTTTTTTTTTTCTACTTTCCCTTTAACTTGAGAAACTGAAAGGGTCACGATAATATCAAGGCCGTTCTTAACTTTGCAGAACAGCCACAAACACGGCAAAATAATCATCAACATTTGCTGTTTGAAACAGGTCCAAAACTTCAATCACCTGTGCAGGGCTTCCGGTGACCACCGCTCAGCGGCGCCACAGTATGTACTTGGAAGTTGAGAATAGTAAACAATGTTTTCTTTCTGTGCTTTCCTTATATTTTATACTCTACCAATTACCACTGCCACAATTTGTTGTAATATAATTGTCTGTTTTTTTTTTCACAATACATATGCTATTTGTGATGTAGCTGCGTATGTTCGTGTCCACATAGAGTAATGTGCTCTTTTATTTTTTTAATACATTTCACAAACCTGCAATTTTCATGTTTGTTCTTTCTCTGTATTCCCTCCACCTACACTGTAATACTTGTATGGGCACTGTGAGTACTAAACAAATGAATAAATAAACCAAAGTGCACCCATGCACTTGAAAATTGCACTTGAAGGGGCACTAAAGTCAAATAATTAATGTTAGAGTAAAAGGTCAATGTTTGAGAACATCTAATCCATCAACATAATCAGCAGCAGTGCTCTACTAATCGGGACATTAAGGTAAATGTAGGACATGATATGCACCACGAGTGGCACATCTTGGAATGATCCCAATGACATCAAGAGTAGAATTAATCCCTTGTGCTCTACTTATAATGAAAAAGAACCTTCGGTATACTATAAGACGTAATGAAATGCAGTTCGTGAGTTTCTGTTTGATTCACAAATAAAAACTTGTTCGTATTACCTTGGAGAGTGGCAAGGGCGGTCTAACAAAAGTTTAGTTTTTCACCAGTTTTAGCTTCTCGGGTGCAGTCATATATCTAAGTAGCAGTTTTATAATTGCGTACTCTTGTGCGTGCTTAGCAGTACGCTTGTGAAAGTCATTCTAACAAATATTTTGACAAAATGCCGTGTCTGTGTCATGTTGTGGATCTCCCAATGGCTCTGCTTGAGCTACAGCAAAGAAACCAATGTGACTTCCAACTGGGTGCCACTGAACAAAGCCCTATGCTCAAAATGGCCAAGTGCCTTGCTTCGAGATCCATAGCAACAAGCTTTTGTGGTCGCTGTTGCTGCTGCTGGCCTAGCCACACTCAATCTTGGATTAGTCAATGGCCACAATCAGGCGGCACGCACAAAAAGCGTAGTGCCAGCTGCCAGGCAGTAAAGGCTGGCAACCTTGGGCAAGGCCTCTGTTATGTTTGGGTGGATGACATGAAAGGCGCTAATGCTGTGCAGACGACTAAAACACTATTTTCTTTTGTAATAAACATTTCCTTGACCAGAAATAAGCATTGTGATGTTTGTGGAGCGATTTTTTGACAATCAATGTCAGCTTAGTTTGTTGACAAGTTTCACCCATGTTGTGCACCAAAAATAAAAGTCAGTGTGAAACCTTGGTGACACGATCATGTCTCGTACGAATTTCAGGATGATACAAATTTTTTTGTGGTTGTGGCCAAGGCTCATTAGTCTGCAATATAATGAGTATGGTTGTTGCGAACAAATTTTCATCTTGCAATGTTTTATACTACATAAGCAACCAGCACTGTCGTGTAATATGCGGCAATCACGCTAGCCCTAATGCAGGCATGCATGTTGCGTCGCAAGTTGACCATCAGCAGCACGTCATAGCGTCCAAGTTACACACATGAATCTTAGAAGCCTCACTGCGCCTTTGTTTGCATTCATGTTTATTGTGGGCGTAGCATTGTCGCCCCCCCCCCCCCCCAACCTCAACGTATCATTGCTCTGTTCACACAAGCCGGCCATGCTGATGTAAGTCATTCTCTCACAATCACACATCCTAAGAAAATGTGCACAAGGACCGGAAAAATAAATTAATGGTTCTGGCAAGGAGCCAGCCTTGCCATTTCAACATGCATGATTGTTTAGGGTGCACACACATACCAACTCCCATATTTCCATGGGAGGCTACCGAACCTCGCAATTTCGCAAGCCACGGCCGTAAATCTCTCGAAAAACCCCCCCAACCACCGCTATAAGAAAATAACAAAACAGAAACAGCTGTTTTTTTCCCTAAATCTTCACGCCATTTTCTCTGCAGTACCCTCGAGTCATGGGGAAGAGCACACCAATATTTGGGAAAGGTTACTAGCTGTCGCGGATCACGGTGCAACTGGTTCATTACTTGCACATGCATTTATATATACATGTATAGATATGATCCTTGATGTCTCAAAACTTTACTGTCAATCATTCAGAGCTTTTTTGTGACATTATTACAGCCCGGAGACACAATAATTGAAAATGTACGCCAGGTTTTTTTCCCATACTAATCTGCTATCTTTTCCAGTGATAGGAATTCTGGATAACATATTTTTGGTGACCCTGCGAGATTCGTATCACTGAAGCTTTACTGTATATGGGGGCATTTATGAAATGTGCAAGAGGGTTTACTACCTAATAAAATATTATTGCAAATAAATCATTCAACTAAATATGTGTTTTCTTTTTATACAAGAGATGGTGCAGCAAGGCCATCTGTCAGAGTTGTTCACATCTTGTTTTTCGACCCAGTGAACTGATGAACTGGCATAAAAACTTTAGCCTGCACATTTCTAAATGATGCAGAAATTCAAGCAATAAATACATCAATAAATAATGAGCAAGAATGCTCAAAATAAGTTGTAAAGATAATAATAAATGAAACAACCATGTATGCTACATGCACAGGACATTTCCACTGCAGTACTTAATGAAAAATAACTATGAAGTAATTTCGTTTTTAACTGCCACATCACTCACCTGGACTTGTCTGTAATCTGCTGTTGCATCATGCGAAGGCGTGCTGGTGGTATGTAAGCACCACCAGTGCGCCCTGTGATCACATCCTTTTTCCGTGGTGGTGCCTCTGCATCAGGTGAACTTTTCCGCACTCGCTTTTGCCCCACTGGCTCCTCCCGTCCACTACGGTCCGTTCTAAAATCACCAAGTTGCTCGTCATCTCTATTATCACCCTTTCGATCCTCTCTTCGATCATTTCTCCTTCGATCACCTCTTGAGTCGCCTCTTCGGTCCTCCCTCTGCTCATCTCTTCTATCATCCCTGTGATGATCTTTTTGTTCATCCCTCTGATTGCGATCTCGATCGCTCCTGTGATCATCTCTTCTGCTGTTCTCATCTCTATGGCTCTCACTGCGACCTTCTCTTCGGTTGTGCTTGTGATCATCCCTCCTGTGTTGATCCCCTCTCCAGCCTTGCTCATGGTTTTCTTTACGGTCCCTGTCTCTGTTCCTGTCATGTTTCCGTCTCCGATCATGGCCCCTGTCCTGCCTTCTCTGATGATCTGTATCCCGCTGGTGATCATGAGCATCATCACTGCGCCGTCTTTCAGAATCAACTCTTTTGTGGTCTGCATTTGCGTCTCGTCTGCGTTCTTTTCTTCGCTCATGGCCGATATGCCTGGCATGATCAGTTTCAGAGTCGCTACTTTTATCTGACACTGCATGACGAGCCTCCTTTATTGGTGGACTGAAAAGAAAAAAAAGTTTTTATTGAACTTTTTAATCTGGCGACATCCGTGCACATGATGACAGTCAACCATGCAAGCTATAAGAGAAAACTACACTGCAATTAGAAGTAACCATATGTACAAAGTTGTATGGTGCAGACAAGTAGAACTACAGCAAAAAGGATACTGTAGAAAAGCCACTGCTAAAAATTATTCACAAATAACATTATGGAATAAAGCGATACAATTCAAATCTATGACAATCATCTTGTGAATCTAGGGGTCCCTCTCTAGCCATATTTAAAGGGGCCCTCAGACACTACTTATGAAGCACCTACATCAGTACTGATCGCATAAACATGTAGTGGCGCTTGTGAGAACTACCGCAGGTGAAAATGGTGATTGGATAAACTTAATGCTATATGAAATCATGGCATTGCATCAAGAAAGATTATTATTGGTTTTCTTTTTTTTTTTTTTTTGGCATGCTTTTTCACTGAACAGAGGATAGACTAAAGCTCTCCAAATTTTCAGGCTTGAAAACTGCAGCATTGAGCAAAGAATGCGCCAAACAGCACAGAGTTAGAAGAAACACACCAGGGGACACTTCAGGCACCGTTGTTTGAAGAAAGTGAAGGGGGAAAAATGTAAGAGCGATGATAAAGACGCTGTCCGCAATAATAAAGATCACCAGAACTACAAAACATTAAAAGAAGCCTGCGAGCTGCCTTGTTTTACACATGCAGTTTATTCTTTAAGGGCAACATTGTTACCATTGCAACATCATTATTACGTTTGAAATAACTGGAAATATGGCATTGTAAGAGTGCAGAGGAGAAGGGCAAAGGTATAATGATGCCCTCTCCTTCCACAAGGCAACGCATGAAGCTGACTTTGTGCCCTCCCTCCCAAGTGACAGGAGGGTGGGGGTGGCAACCCTCCCTGACCCCTGTGCGCAAGTTTATGCAGTTCATTCTATTGGTAGGCCATCGAACGTCACAAGACGAGGGAAACATGGTCAGGTGATCCCACGAAACTCTACTTGAGGGTAAGGGTCGATTTTATTGTGTTCTAAATTTTCTATCCTGAACAACTTCAAACTGCGTGCCCCTATTTTAGCTATTCTTTCGGCATTAATCTTCTCAGCCTTCAGTCTACATAACCAGTAAGCGAAAAATGTAGAGCAACAGTGGTGGAAGCGACATTTTGCTTTTTGAAGCAGACTTTGGAGAAGGAAAAATGGTGCTTGGGAGCAGGCTTAAGCGTCTTCAGGAGCAGAAAAAAATGCTATAGTTTAGGGTTGCTATTGGCGTTTTCAGAGCACATGCATGTTCCCAACGACTCCTGCAATCCCCCTGAAATTTAGCTTGAGCACGTGATATAATTGAGCTAACAGTTAAGTATAGCACAATCAACATTTTCAAAGGCTCCTTATCTGTTACTGCATACCTGTGTTAAATGCCCTTGAGCTGAGTGAACTATGGAAATCGCAAAAAGGTAAAAAAAAAGAGAGCCTGAATAGAACAATTCAATCGCTTGAGCCCAGACCCTGTGCTTGTTTTTTACAATTTTATTGAAAGCATTATTTAATACTCATATAAATAAAAATAAAACTCGTAATAAATATACGAATTGGCCACCATGGCCTGGTATGTGTCACCCCTTGCAATTTTTCAGGATTTACGCCACTGAGTTGCATACTACGATGATAGTGTGTATACAGCTTGGTTTTGGTTTCACTTAAGCTCACGGGATAGTTCCATGGTTTAACTTCATTCTTTTTAGTTTGCAAACACAGTTTTGGAGCAGGTTTGGAGCAGTTACTAGCAAATATTCCACTTTGGAGCAGCATGGAGCAGCATTTCTCTTTTGGAACAGTTTGGAACAATTGGAGCAGCACTTCCATCACTGAATTAAGTTTTGAAAAGTGATGAAAACCCTCTTTAAGAAGAGATGTGGTTATACATTATTCATAAACTACAAACATCTTGAAAGATTAAAGTGGTACACACTTTATTAAAATATAAACTATCCAAATTGATGTGACCATATAGCTCGACTTTTCAAAAGGGCCCTTCTTCCCAGAGCTTGTAAACTTTTGTTACAATAAGAAAAACAAACCTTCTTAACATGTATGCATTTGCATATGAACATTTTTGTATGCCAATCTGCAATTATTATTATGCAATCACTGCATGCAATCTGCACCTTTCTTGTCGTCGTCATTCTTACCTCAATTTAGAACCAAACTGCATGGCGACATGTTTTCTTTACAATACCACTGTATTGCTTTTATGTGGAATGAGCTCAATGTATCGAACTGTTGTCACGTCCTGAGAGTGCAGCAGATCCTGGCTAAGTAGACCTATAAGATGTTCATGGTTGCGACAGCACCAACGTTTATAAAATTTCTTTCAATTTTTAAACTCCCTGCCTTCACTGTTCTCTGAAAGCAGCATGCAGCCGACTTTTGGTACATGTGGCGCAATCGCAACAACAGGCTCTATGTAGTAAACGACCAGGTAGTGTAGGTGAGGAAGCATCCACCGGACAGCTAACAATTCCTCCAGAGCGGCCATCGAACTTGATAGTAGTGTTTGTAGAAGGTGTATGCGTTGAGGCTCTCGTAGACATTGGCACTGCCATTTCGATTATTCATGTGGATTTTTTTTCCCGACTTCGAAAAGTCACTAGGCCTTATGGCGACCCACCTATCCGTGCGGCGACCAACGCTCCCATTCATCCACTTGCACAGTGTACCGTTCGTGTCTGCATAGAAGGCATTCGTCATCACATAGTTTTCGCGGTATTTCGCGAGTGCACCCACGCTCTCATTCTGGGGTGGGATTTCTTGTTTTCTGTGTCCGCTTTCTTACCTTGTCATCAGCGCCTCCTACATCTACATGCCACTGACTCTTCGCCACTTGAACACGATGGACGCATCCGCCTTGTCACCACGTCAGATTATGTACTTCGGCCATACATCGAAGAAATTATAAGTGTTAATTGCACTGACATTGTGGATAGTGACATACCAATTCTCCCTTACGGCCATACCCTACGTAGAGGCATTGTGATCACACCAGGACTTATTCGGTTCTTCGATGGGTCTACCTACCTAACCGCCTTAAATGAAACCCCCGAATCTGTACTGCTCTCCTGTGGCTCGACAGTATCTTGCGCGGTCGACAGCGAGCCTGTTTCGATTGTTACTTTTCCAAACAACAACCACAATGATGTCCCAAAGTCACAATCACTGCCATTCAATGCCTCTTCCACACCTGTATCGTCAACTATAAGCACTGACTTGATACCTGCAAGAACTGAAGATTTGCTCGTCCTGTTGAATAGACACTGTTTTCTATTTGATATGAACTCGCCCGTCCTCAGCACGACTACGACCACTACTCACAGCATCCACACTGACAGCTCTCATATAGTACATCGGCGTCCATATCGCGTCTCGGGCAGAGCGCAAGATCACCGAGAGAAACGTCTCAGACATGCTACGACGCAACACCATACGTCCTTCCTCGAGTCCCTGGTCATCCCCAGTTCTCGTTCAAAAGATGGGACAGTTCGTTTCTGCGTCGATTACCAGGCGCTAAACAAAATAGCATACAAGGACTTTTATCCTCTCCCTCGGATCGACGATGCATTGGATTCATTACAGGGCGCCGAGTATTTTTCTAGCCTCGACCTTTAGGTCAGGCTACTGGCAGATACCAATGTCGGAGTCTGATAAAAGAGAAGACCACCTTTTCAACGTCAGATAAGTTGTATGAGTTTATTGTGATGCCTTTTGGACTCTGTAATGCGCCCGCCATCTTCGAACGCATGATAAACGGCATATTGTGTGGTTTGAAATGGAAAACGTGTCTGTGCCATCTCAATGACATAGTAGTGTTTTCATCCACATACTCGCAGCATCTACAACGTTCTAACGAAGTCTTCACATGCCTTGCAAGAACCGGTCTACAGCTTAACACCAAGAAATGTACCTTTGCTAGCAAGACAATCAAGGCTCCCGGACACCTAGTCAGCAAAGAAGGAATTCGGCCGGACCCCAAGAAGCTTGCCGCCGTCCTCGATTTTCCTTGTCAACTTCGTCAGAAAGACCTGCGCAGCTTTCTTGGGTTAGCTTCTCACTTCCGGCGCTTCATACGTGGCTTCCCGGAACTTGCGTCTCCACTCCATCAACTCCTCACAAGTAACGTCACCTTCGTTTGGTCCGAAGACTGCGAAAGCGCTTTCAGGGCATTGAAGCAAGCCCTCACATCGAATCCGATACTGTGCCACTTCGATGCAAGCGCACCCACCATCCTTCACACCGACGCTCGTAGTCATGGTCTAGGTGCAGTACTCTTGCAGCACGACAACTCACGTGAACGCGTCGTTGCTTACCCAAGTCGTGTTCTTACGACTGCAGAAAAGAACTACACTATCACCGAGCAAGAGTACCTTGCTGTTGTTTGGGCAGTGCAAAGATTTCGACCATATCTTCACAGCCATCACTTTACTGTAGTTACCGACCATAACGCCCTATATGCTGGCTTTCATCGCTCAAAAACTGATCGGGTCGCCTCAATCGCTGAGTGCTTCACTTGCAGGAGTACCATTTCGATGTCGCCTACAGATGTGGGAAAAAGCATCAAGATGCTGATGCTCTATCGGGCTGTCCTTTGCCCAGCGAAGGCCACTGACCACCGCTACTCCAAAAAGAGACCACCCTTCCAATCGCAGAGGAAAGTTCATCACTCGGCACCCAATCGGTCCTTGTTTCACAACAACGTGTCGACCCATACTGCCGCACCATTGTTGACCGCTTGACCGGCTTTACTCCTCCAAATGCCCGGCTCCGTCGACAACTTCAACAATTTAAGCATGTCAGGGGCGCTTTATACCACTACATTTACCACATCGATAGTAACAAAAGGGTACCCGTCATCCCACGTTCTCTGCAATGTGAAGCTCTGGAAGCCTTTCATGATGATCCAACCGCCGATCATCTAGGCTATCA